GGGCACTTCTATGTTTCAACTACACGTAAAACATCGACGACTAATAATAACTGAAATTTTGCAATACCATGTGCACTGATAAATAATATGATATATATGCCAGTTGCAGTAACGAAAGTAAATAAATGTGACTTTGGTGAAATGCGAATCAATCAATGCAAAATGATAAAAATTTCGGAACGAAAAGTCGAAATAACATTGTTGAAGACAAATTTGCATTGTGCTCAAAATTTGATAATGAATGTTTTAGTTGATTCGCCATGTCTTGGCAGTATTTTGCAATTATTCGAAATCGAGTCTTAAAATCATTCCCAAATTGAATTCAGTGAATTTTCATCGCATTCTGTTAATCACAAAATATTATTGCTAAAAACGATGCAATTTTGCGATTTCGTCTATCGATGTTTGCGCATAATCCAGGGCCAATCAAGAATATGCCAACTGAATTGCCGAAATACGTGCTGTGTATATAAGTCGCTTATCACTGGTAAAATTGGAGTACGTAAAAATCAGAAAGTGATCTTGAGAAAGCCACTTTCCTTGCCTTGAATCTTTTCTTAACACGGACTATTTCTAATGTCTAAATGAACGAACTCATAACAGCATTATTGACGAGGCAATTGCATCTGTGATTAAATTGTAATTAGTGCAACTTATACAGACTCGAGCAGGATTGCTTAGATGATCAAAAAGCGGAATGTTGAGAACAACGAATTATGTTGAATGATTGAAAAGAAAAACTGTTAAGGATTCTGAACCGAGAGTATTCATAACATGCAAGAAGGAAGCAGATGCTAAATTCGCAGAATACGTTCGTCATGTAGTTGATACGTCAACAATCTCAAAAGAAGCGCAAAAAGCAAGACCTGATTACGGTATTGAAAGTGTTCAACCGAACGACGTGGCATGCATCTGTTACACTTCTGGTACCACCGGTTCGTTGTTGGCCAGTTATTTCGCTTGAGAACAATTTTCTGTTTTTCCAATTAGCAACATTCATTTTCTCCCAAAATGGCTGAAAGTTCATCAGATGTTTTTGTTGAGCGTTGAAACGGAATGAATTTTCAACTTGTGCACAACGAAAGTGATTGCACTCAAATTTTGTAGAATCGATCGCTGGAAATGAGTGTTTTGGTTGTTGTTGCAGGATTGCCGAAAGGAGCGATGTTAAC